TCTAAATGGGATTTAACAAGTCCATTAAATGCCATTTTTAATATTTTGGGATCTGCCCCCCACCAAGTTTTACAGAAACATTTCAAAACATTCATCCCCTTGCTAGCTTTGATTACTATCTTATTGGTATGTTTATTCCATGTTAAATTTGATGTAAGGTTCATACCCAAATATTTAATTTCTGAAACATTAATTAAATTGTCATTCCCTATTTTTATAGTTGTTGATTTCTGTTGTTGTCTCCCTGAATTAAACCACATTTTTTTGCTTTCATTTGTAGAAATTTCTAATCCGTTTACATTCATCCAATCATTTATTATATTAACAGTTTGATTCATTTTATTAATTGTGTTTTCTATTTGTTTCCCTTCAATTATGATTATTATATCATCCGCATAAGTTATGATATGTGCTGGTATTCTATCAAAGAGAGAAGTAAAATAAATGTTAAAGAGTATTGGACTCAATGAGGATCCTTGTGGTAATCCTCTAGTTGAGATGTGTGGTCCATGTGTTATCTCGTCATTGTCAGTGGTGTAATAAATTCTGTTGTTTAGTATTTTAAATATTAAATTAGCCATGTTCGGGTGTATATTCTAATTAATTGAATATTTGTAAAGTTCGAAAATATTAACATTGTCATAGGCAACTTTTATATCTATAAATGATGCCAGAACTTTTTGTTTCAATCCAAAAGTAATTTGTATATGAGTAATTATAAATGCTAAGCAGTCAATTGTTCCTTTTCCTTTTCTGAACCCTAATTGATCATCTGACAATAATTGATTTTTTTCTATATATCATTCTAATCTTAATTTCATTATCCATTCTAGTATTTTTAATGGGCAAGATGCTAGCGAAATTAAACTATAACTGTGGGGATCGTTTGGGTTTTTATTTGTTTTGAGGGATCCTAAAACATTGTATCTTTTCAATGATATTGATATATGTAAACCACCACATAGTACTATGCGCTGGGAAATGAATTTCCTAAAACATCTTCTACCTAATCAATTAACCTCTCGAAGTATCTAATATTGAATATTATTTTTAGAATTACATGTCTTATTTCTGGGAACTTTTGCTATGAACCATTGAAGAGTTATTAATATTAAATGTTTGTATGTTATACTATGTTTTATTTATTTATTGATTAACACTCATCAATTTGATAACATCATATGGTAAAGTCTCTTATAGTTTTGGGCAGTGTTTCCTAACCTGGGGGTAATTACCCCCACAGGGGTAAAACGGCAATTATAGGGGGTAACAGAGTTGCCACAAAAAAGTATTAAAATAATAAACAAAATAATAGTATGATAGCACGACGCTCCATCTCCTCTATCTTCCCTAATTATATTGTAATTTTTTATTTTAAAGAATTGTTCTCTTTTCAGCCATGTTTAATTTAGATGTATAATTTCTGGATTCTCCTTTTTTGTGAATTCTATTAGATTATGTTTATTAGCTTTGACGCTTCGAATGTACCATTGTAATATTTTAAGTGTTTCCCCTGTCATTTTTTCCTAACTTATTATTAATTATTATTCTGATTGTGAATCGGAGCCACTATTATTAATACTTTCATTATCTATAGAAATAATTTTGTGGAAGTATTTTGGCTTTTGCCTCCTGCGGGATATTGCCAAATTTCTCTACAAATTCTTTTATTATTTCCTTGTCATTTCTGACTATTTTATTGCACCTAAGTTGGGCCATCGATTAGTATTCACAGAGCTTAATGTCCTATTTTCTTCATTACTTTTTCTCTTACTCATATTATAATTCATTACACTTCCTCTTGTAATCTGTGATGTTTGCCCGAATGGGTAAAACAAATTTTCTCTATGCTTATTAATATCGTATCCCATATTAATATTCGTTCTTTTTTTTTCCTAAATCTGACTGTTTCAATATTTTATTATAGGTTCTATTTTCCGAAATATTTTCATTATGTATTATTTTTTGTCTTTCATTAATTTGAATACTATCACAATCTATTTGGGTATTATCTACTTCTAGCTCTGGAAAATTTGAGTTGATTAATATATTTTCATATTGTTGTTTAGGGAATAATAAAGATGCTTCAAAAAAGGAAAGGTTGCTGTATTTCATTTTTTCTCTGATAATTTTTTGTCTTTTAAATTCAATGCAGTTTTTATCATTAGATTCATGATTTTTTTCTTTACAATGAATACATTTCATTTCACTACATTCATTATATTCTTCATCAGAATTGTGTATTTCTGAACAAGAAAAACATTTTTTCTCACCTTTATACTGTTTTTTAACATGACCATAGACTAAACAGTTAAAGCACTGAGTTACTGGAGGAATGTAAGGAATTACTTCATAAGTCATGTAGCATAAATCTACGTGTCTTGGCAATACAACTCCTTCAAAAGTTATTAATATCATATTGGTAGGTTTGTATTGAATATTATCCCCATCTTTTTCTCTTCTATTCATTTTCTTTATGTTTAATATCCTGTATGGGCTCCATATCATTCTCTCTAAATCCTTTTCCGAAAAAATTGTATCTATCTTTCTAACTATCCCTTTGCATGTAACCTGATTAAATGGTATATATATTTTGTATCCTTTCTCTATAATATATTCATTATTTACAAAGTTATTTGCCGCTTCTTTATTTTTAAATTGAACCCCAATCTTATTTATCCCTTTAGGTTTAATTTTAACTATGTCTTTTAATTGCTTCTCAGTTCTTGTTACAGTCTGTGTTTATCTTACAAAAGAGAGCGGTTAGATATATTTGTAAGGCAAAACCGAGAGATTGCTGTAAACCCCTGTTTATTGATCAAAAAATCTTGACTCTGACATGCATTTTTATCCTTGAAAGTGTGTGTATGATACACACACTTTCAATGATGTGCTATATCAATAAAATTGATATAGCACATCATTTCCTAAATTCAACCGTTTTCGAGATATCAAATTTTGAAGATAACTTTTTACTACTCCAAAATTTATTAAAGAAAAAACACGAAATGATGGATATTTATTATGAAAGTCACACAAGGTGGAGTATGTGGACAGTCAGACACCGAACCAGGTAAAACTAAATAAAAAATCTCCGACCCTGAAAACTCGCCAGATACCAATTTTGAATAGAATTGGACCATAATCACAAAAGTTGTCCGTCATAATGGAGCCGCCATTTTGTTTTGTTTTTTTCTAACAAAAATTTCATGATGCATTTTGGTCGAAATTATCTACACTTACCAAATTTCAAATCAATCGGATGATTAAAAGTGTGTCAAATTTAACTTGCAAGATTTGATTACAGACACACAGTCAGATACTCTTCTACAATAACAATGAAAGGTCCAAGGTTGTTATTTTTATAAAAAAGTATTTCTGTTTTTTTGTCACTATCTTCATTGTTTTTTATATTGATGTCCATATTGTGAATTGCGTTGTTATCTTTCAAAATGTTACTAAGAATGCTTCTTACTTCCCTATCACCGCTATCAATACTTTCATTGGAATCTATTTCTATTTCGTCAGTCCAATTTTGATTGTTATTACTTGCAATTTTTTTCTTTTTAACCGATGGAGCACCCGAAGCTTCACTCATTATTCCCTTGATACAAGATGTTTTTACTTTAACTTCCTAATCTAGATACTATATAAAAAGGATGGAAGGAAAAATATTCAACAGAGGTAGTGTTAGTGAGCACACCTACTTGCTTTTTTTGCCTGTTTGACGTGAAATAACCTCTACAACTGGAGCGCACGTAAACACATCCGCCGACCATGAAAACTCTCATCTCACTAACCTTATTATATACAGTCTGCTAAAAACACCACCTATGTTTTGGTCCAATCGAACCGGGATTTATGTTGGTAGTATTTGCATTGTTATTGTTTTTTTTTCAAGTCATACATTCAGGAAAAAAGTCGCTTTAATTCTCGATTCTCGCTGGTGGATGATTGAATAGATACTCATTATATATTATCATACAATATATTATATACTTTCTCGTTTTATAATATAATCTCTCGGAATGGATACTCCAAAGCGATGGTAGAAAAGACTTTGGCTAAAAGACAGCAGGAGCCTCGCAAGGAAGAGAAGCCGTCACAACCAGTGCTTGCACTTCCCTACATCAGAGGATTATCGGAGAGGATAAGAAGAATTGGTTCCAAGTACAACATTAGAACCTGTTTCAGATCCGGTAACACTATCCGTAGCAGCCTCACGAAAACCAGGCCCCCAAACG